AAGAGAGAGATATATTTAATACAAGCTATTTTTTTTAATTATCCTACTTTTAAAAATTTTTTTTTTTTTTTAAAAAAGGAACCCCAGGGGTTTTTAAAAAAAAAAAAAAAAAATGGCCCCCCCCTTTTATGGAAAAAATTTCCAGAAAAGTAATTTATGAAATCTGAAAGTTAAAAAGGCTCCCCGTTTTACAGAAAAACAACCATGTTTGGCCAATTGTTAAAGTTTTGGAAAGATGTTTTTTAGTTTCCTTAATGTTAAATGTTTCAGTTACTGATGACGTTAATATGTTTGAACGGTTACTTCTATTTGAAATAACAGTTTTTTATTCCAAAATTAGCTATCAAAAAAATTTAATCTTTATTGAAAACAATTACCAAAATTTAATTTTACCTTTAAAGTTTACAAACGTTAACAAATTAATAGAAATTTCTTCTAAAAATTTAACAATTTGAAATGTAACATTAATTCTAAAAAACAGGCGCGGCAAATTTTGAATGTTGCCTACAGGCGGCAACAAAATATTAATCCCGGCTCTGCACATATACGCACGGAACGGGAACGCGAAATCTTTCAGAGGAACGTCCCCAAACATACGACGTCACAACAGCGGGACCGGGTGGAGAGCGCTCTCCCCCTTTCTAATACGGAAACATTTAGGCAAATGCAAACAGATTAGCCATAATAACTACCATACAATGACTTGTATACAATTAGATATTACTGATCAAAACGTGAATCAGAATGCTGTGCAGAATGTAAATATTTTCTTCAACTTCTAGGCCAATGAGTGCTTTATTAGATTGGGTTTGTCGCCCAGTTTCCGTTGTTTGCCAGAGACGCACCCAGAATTTTTCTCGGGGGATGGGCAGGTATTGTAACCAGCTCACTTGATATTTTCTTATAAAAAATTTATTATTTATGCAGGATATAAAATGCAATATTTGTTGACTTACAGTTAATATTGATAACGTCAACAATTGATATATTGATGTACTTTCGTTAGTATAGAAAATTAGTAAAAGTGGGCGAGACACTGACTATTGGGCAATTGTAGATTGGTTTCAGGGTTGCATGTACTAAATCTCTTCTGACGCAAACAGGTGAACCCGCCAAACACGACAGTACGACGGGTTGCTTACGTATCAGGGGCAAATCTATCGTAATTAAAGTTCAGTTTACATGGCGAGACTCGGACCATCGTGCCCGCTCGTCCGTCTGACCACGCCAATTTTGCCACGCTCCTTTACCATCTAACGGGGAAATAAGGTATCGCTCGGACGACGACACAAGCCCTCTAAATTTAGCTTAGGGGCTTGAGGATCTTTTACATACAGTAAATCTATAACATGGAACAGCCAGCTTTACTTCCCCTTCCGAGGAATACAGGGAAAGATTTTTTCATCCTTAAAAATCAACTGATTCAATTGGGTTTCATCCTGTAAACTTCGGTACAACATCTCGATATGCTAACCGTTACACCATTGAAGCCGCATGTGTAACTATTGCATGAGATGTTTATAGAGCCAACAAGTCAGATGAGTTTGTAACACTTCTTTTGGGTTATTCGGTATTTATGATGCAATTTTCCATCGACTGTTTATCGTGTGACTATGTACAATGTGTTAATTTAATTTGTAGAATTGTAATTATAAATCTATTATTCTTCCTTCCTTGTGTCAGTGAATGACATCCTTCCATCAACCAGCAGCTTTCCATGTTATAAAGTGTACCCATGAAATACCGTAAAATAGTCCTCTAATTAAACAATTAGTCAAGTATATTCCATTATTGTTCATTTTATCAATGTCTTTTTGTTTTACTTCCTTGTTTATAATTATCAGGGACGTAATGAAAAACTACAAATTATATGTCTGCTATTGGATTCGTTAAATGCATATTGTTAACATAATATTTGACTTCTAGAGAACTTTGTTGGCGGTAGAGGTCGCCAACAGATACCAGTTTCCATTGCATTTCCATGCAAGGAGAGGGAAAATCTAAATGACCTCCCCGTTAGTAAGTCGCTAATGTTAATTCAAAATAATGCGTTAAAAAATATATAAAAAAGGCAGTTCTTGAGTAACAGAGTCTTTCACACGAGCGTCGAGTTGACGCGCGTCACCTAATGCTCGTGACGTCAGTTGCGTCGATTAATGTGCACGCTGTTGACCCACAGCTCAAGCTAATACGTTACTAAAGATAACGCGCGAGTCGTAGAAGACGCGCTTGACTGCAACGGACGTCGCCAAGAGCGCTCGTGTTCAGTTTCGCAAAAGACTGTTCACCTGAGGTTCGCTTGACGCCACCTGCTTTAGATGACGCGCGTCAACGCAATACTCGTGTGATACAGCCTATAACTGAATCCCCTCAAGAAAAGCTTATTTCACACTTAAATATCATTTAAGAATGAATTTAAGTTAAAAATTATATATTTTCAGTATTTTAAAAAGAGGGACCCTGACTAGTGTTCGCATCATCGTTTTAGCAACATGGGGCTCATTCAGAAAACACAGCGTCGCCTATACTTTTTGCTTCTCCTGTCTTCTGCTACGACTCTCCAATGCTGCAACTGCAACGCGCATCGGAGGGCGGCTGGTCCCGAGTCGGAAGAGAGCAACGGCGCCAGCGAGGCAACAAAGAGGTAATGGCGCCATGCCTGATTTGCCATGAGAAGGCTCTCAATGCTGCTCGGTGTTTGCAAGTCAGTGCTACGCGTTCACTGTACCCAAAAGAGCGTTTTGAATTTTTCAATAGTCATGAAGCTTGGGCATAAATAAAAGTTTCAAAGAAAATGTTTTACATTCCATGATGTTTTCGGTCTTCTTAACCTTTTCTCATCGTCACATAGGAGATATACTGCCACATTGCAAGGATAACTCACCTATAATCTTGCCCGATTCGGGAATAGAACCCCGGAGGTCCTCATTGAAAGCCCACACTCTGAACAATAAGCTAAACCATAGACCAATTTACATGTAACACAAAATATAAAATCTTATTTGATCTAGCTACATGTGTGAAGAGCATCGCTCTTTTCGTGTAATTTGCAACCGCGTATTTTGCCCGAGGAGTAGAGTCATCATAAGCAGCAGAAACTTTTCCTGTTTGAATTTTTCCCTTTTAAGGTTACGACGGTAAGGTATGTGCTCCACTCGAAGGAATCATTTCAGGCTGAGCGAGGCAGCAGTATGGGTGGATGGGGTGAGATTGGCCATGAGACGATCAAACAATACGTCAGTTTCTGCAATTCTGTCCAGTATGCTCTAGAACAAAAACTGTCATATTAAGATAGTAGTATTCTATGGCTGATATCTCGATTTATTAACTAAATGTAAAAATAATCATTACTTAACAAAGCCGACTCAGAGAGAAATTAGAAAGATCTAGAGAAACATCACCATCAAGCTTCCATTGTCATTTTTATAAAAGATATAATAATAATGAATAATATAGCTCTCAAAACCAGCGCACTATGTTGAGACTAAAACCTGGAAATCAAACAAGAAAACCTTGATAAAACTAATAAAATATTTATAAAATATTAATAGGCAGAAATTAATAATTATGGGAAGTAATTCATTAAAATAGTATTTTTTATAATTACAATTTTAGTCATTCTTCTTCCTAAAGTTGAGTTCTGGGAAGATGAATGAGAGGGAAAGAAGACTACCCAAAGACAAATATAATAGTGCTTTTTTCCTTCTTCAAACTAAATAGCAGCATTTCACTACCCGAACCTAATAATACACGACTTCAAAATGGCGAAAGTGAAAGGGGTTCAAAAATAATTCATTGGTTGCCAAATTGCCTCAAGACAGATGCTCCCAGTCGTGGGTTATGATTTAAACGAGACCCTTGTTTGTGATGACACTGTGTATATTGCACTGATTCGGTTAACCACCCAGCACTAACCACTGCTTCAAAATGTCTTAATTTATTTATTTTCCTTTACTTTATGTTTAAGAAAAGTTGAAGCAATTTTCTAATATACCCATTCCAGTAATATACATGAACCGGATTTTTTAAATGTCGTCACACACATTTAGGGTAGAATATCGATTAGCCATTACTCAATCGAGTATCTCCCATTTTCAAAGTTTTGTAATTTTCAAAAACCTTCTACATTACTGGAAAATATGAATTGGATACAAATTTATAAAAAGAACAAAATAAAAATGGCAAGCTTTAGTGTAACATCATTTTCAGAAGAAATGTGAGAATTGCTCTTAAGAGTTCACACAAGCTTATTAGTAATGTACACAAGAATTTTGACAGAAACTATGAAAATGTACGTCACATCTCGTGCATCTCCCGTTACAGTTTTTGAGTTCTAAGAATTGTAAAATAGCACCCCAGCATACGTTTAAAAAAAACTCTTCATAATGAACTAGTCTTCATCAGAAAAAAACATTAATACAATGTTCAAAGACTATTTACAAAAAAATTGCAGCAAATGCATCAATATATAACCGGTCTTAACTTCTTGACACAATGTAATCCCTATTCACACGCCACAACTAAGAAAAACTTAATATGGAAAAAATTATAATAAAACGTTACAAAACAACATTAAACTTGAGCTCGTAAACCTGCTGTTCGCTAGTAAGTATAAACACAAAAAAATGTTTCAATTATTTCATTTGCATTGCAAAATATGTGGATAATATAATAAAGAGTGTCATTCCAAATTTGGTGAACATTTCCACACGTACAAGGAACAGAAAAAGAAATATTCTCATTGTTTTCATTCAAAATAAATATAAAGAAAAAATATAAACGCAGAAAAATAAAGTCTCAAAATACCATTTTTAGAATCCTTGAAATGCTTTATTTGTAAGCGAAGAAAAATTCCAGAAGTTACTGATATTCCTCTGTTGGATTTATCTCAATTTATCCATCACTCCCCTGTCCGATAGAGTAGAAAGATTCACTTCAACTGAAAAGATCAATTTATGCAGGCATTAGAGGTCCAGATCCCTTGCGTTCTAGTCAACATGTAATATATTATCAAGAGAATGAAAACGCCGTTCCTTTTTCGCAAGGTGAGAATAACATGCAAATCCATATCTGTAACAAATAATTGCTTTCCGATTTTTTAAGTGTTCAAATCATTATTCACCAAACGGAACTTATTTGCATTATCGCAGTTTTATTACCATTTACACATATTATAAATAAACTAGCAAGCCATAACTCACACACTTTCTCGCCGATTATCTCGTAACAATAAGCAATGTTATAATGACTACTGAACCTGCAAAATTTCCAACTTACCAATTTTTTTTCTGTGCTAGTTATTGAACTTGATCCTTAAGAGTTAACAGTCACTCAAAACCCTGCACGCAACAACCTCAAAGCATAAATACAAACTTCTCCGCCGGTTAAAAAATAATTTAACAACTGCTTTGATCATTTCACGTAAAACCGGAGCAGAACAAAAACCTAAAGTGTTCCTAATTCTCTGATTTTTTTTCACTATCTGTTATGAAAAGTAAAATACACAATTTTTTTTTTTAGTCGACGAAAAAAAATTTTTAAGTACGCAGTTATTCAGAAAGATATACAATTTTTGCTCTAATAGCTAATGTTTTCATAAATATTTAGCTCCCATGTATTGCAAAATAAACTACTTCAAAACAAGTTACACAAATGTAAATCATTTTTGAAAGATCATCACATCTTTAATATGCATTTTTCCAGTGATATGTAAACACCATCATTTTGCTGAGGAAGACTTGTAAACTCATTATGAAAGTTTTCGCAAACTCATTAGTTGTGTGAAAAGAGGTCTAATTTAGAATCGCATTGGTTAAATGCGATTCTTTAAAAATAGCTCATCTTGTTTCAAAGAAAACTGCCAAATTAGGACGTAGTTCTTTTTGTATTATAATATTCTTGAAATTATTCTATTCAGTTATACTATTAGAAAGACGAAAAAATTAATTGAAAATTTTGTAAGCACCACCTAGTTTTATTTCTGGATTATTTTTCTTTTTGACCAATGTATAATTTCTTTTGTAAATAATAACAATTTACTTTCTTTAGTGTTTCTATCTACTGCGATGCAATTTTTGCCTAGATAAGAATTTTTCAACCAATTTTTGAGTGCTTTAAGCAGCTTAACGCTATTCGGAATATCCCAAGATTTTGGGAATAAGTACAGAGTGCCATTTCCTTTGCAACATCACATTGCTAAAGGCCATGTGAGATGGCATACGTGGGGCTTTGAAGATTTAGCATTAAGTTTATCTCAATACATCGACTCCCCCAAAGAAGCTCTTGAGGGCAGCAAAAAAAACAACCATACAAAACATAATGTTTTCATCTTCCCAATGAAAATCATGAGAAGAAAACTCATATGAAAAGTTGTACCAACTGCAGAATAAATGGCTTCGAGAACACTTAACGTTTTTCACATTACATTCGCCTTTGTTTGAAATAAAGCAAAAATTAAAACAGTTTTTTGAAAGAAAGTGGAATTTCTCTTATTTTGAAGAGGTAAACCTGAAATAAGTAAATTGACACATATAATATAGTATATATTTTTGGAATATTAACTAAACTCAATTGCTCAGTACAACATTTGCAATCTTCTTTTTTGAAGATTGTCCCCCCAGCGCTTCATCGAGAGCAGCGACTTACAACGACCGAGCGCATAAATTTCTCCGCAAGTTCCTGTGAGAAATTGTAACTAGTAGGGCTTCAAAATGGCAACATACTCCCGTATTTGTTATATTTTCTTTAGTCTCACTAGCATATTCGAGACTTGCACACATACTCTTGCCAGCTGCCATCTATCACCACCCAATGTACATTTTTTTTTAATTCTAATTTGTTGGCTTCCTAATGTAAGAAACGGAACAAAAAAATAAACATGTCTTTAAAAAGAAGTATTTATGGACAATAATTTATTTATAACAAAAAGCAGATAAATCAATTGATTGATTCTACACCTGCGTGTCATTGCTAGTCAATTATGCTGTTAAAAGTAGTGCATGTTTTGTCGAGGTATGGCGTGATCTTGCTCCGCTGGATGGCAAGATACGTGGGCTAGCGGGTTCCCCCAAGCCAGATATCTTTCCCACACAGCCCACACCCCCACCCACACCAGCCTGGAAAGCATACAAGGATACCGTGCCGTCTCCTAGCACGTGTGAGTTGTAGTGCAAGAAAGTGGTGTAAGGCGCGAGGAAATAGAACAAGGAATGGGAAGGCTCACACACGCCGTGGCCTTTGGTGCCACTGACCACCTCTCAACCAAAAGCATCAAAATCAATATGCATAAGTATCACAGCAAATATATAAATAACACGTATTTTATTAACCAAAAAAGATTTGATAAAGCCTACCTACATAAGCGTAAGATGCACACTGGTTCCTTGTGACAGGATCTCTCAACAAACTGGGGCGTATACTCGGTTTGACCTTGAATTATCAACAAAATGAACGTGTCTTCTTTGCAAAGCTCAGAATTTGAAACCAGTTCACCACGATTAGGTCCATAAAGCTATCCCCTGTTCTTGTAGCATTCACTTCTTACTGATAACTGCATTTCTGGCTTGGAACGAAACAGTAGGCACGCATTTGGTTGTAATAATTGGAACCATTACTCCCTGATTCATGTGGATTCAGTTCTACGCGATGACACAGCATCACTATGGTCTGGATTGAAACAGAATACTCTGCAATCTGATTTTAACTTTAGGAATCCACATCCCCAGATTCTGTGTGATTCATTATCCGATGACACAGTGCTTTACTGGTTGGAATCGGAACCAGAATGACTGCAATTTGGTATTAAGATTGGAACCATCATTGAATTACGGATTGAGTCTCGGACATAAAATGTTTGGAACATACAACAATGCAGAAGTGTTCATGTAATCATGTTCAATAAATCACATGCCTGGCCCTCCATGACCAATTCACTTTGCTCTCAGGAAATCACAACAATCAATTCAGAAAAACTTATATTCAAGAATGTCCCACAAATTACAAATACTTAAGATAAAGACAATTATGCCTACTAACCATTAGTGATTTTTATTTTAAAAGAACTTGAGTACTCGGCCATTCAAGAAAAACTTAAAAATATCCATACCCAACTAGGTCATGTACTATGAAATGGCAACTACCGAGATTCATATAATATTTTTTTATAGTACTATTATTATTATTATTATTAAGGACTATATTAATTATTATTTGTTATTATTATATTATATATTTTATTATTACTATTATTATATTTTATTTATTATTATATATATTTTTATTATTATATTATTAGTCATTATTTTATTGATATATTATCCTTATTGTTAAACACACCATTTGTGCCGGCGCTGACTATAGACAATTAATTCCACCCAGCTGGACGCTCCCATTGTTGGCCTCACTGCGGATCCAGGAAGGAACATGGGCTAGCCCACCCATACCAAAAAGGGTACAGTTTCGTTTACCTCCTTTATTGCAGATCAAAACTGATTGAATTATTGTCGAATAGGTAATTATTTAACAATGATATTGCATGTATCAGTCACAAACATTAATATAAGAATATAAATACAATATTATTATTTAAAACAACCCCCACCCCAAAGATCGTGCTGTTTCCGCACCTGCGGGCCTCCATGCGGTATTAATCGATACGGGCGTGAAATAATTTCGCGACGCCCCAAATCCCCGAGTTGCGCTGCCTCGCCTCGTATATGCAACTCTTTTTCACCTAAATGAAGTTAGTATTAGTTTTTTTCTAAGATTAATTATGTTTCGATAGACTTTTTAAATGTTACATGCACATTAACTGAGTCAAAAACAATTATGCCAAAATCCATATTTATCAAATGGAAATATTATGTGTGAGGAGTGTAGGTGAGTGCATAGTCCTTTTTAAACGAAAGCAAATGAAAAAAAATACCAATGTCACTGAAAGTGTTAAGGCAAGAAAAATCTTGGCATTTTAACCATTTATTCTTGGAATATAATTAAAACATCTCTTGACATTATTATTTTCCCTAATTAGCATGTCAATATAAAAGTACTTAAAATGAGTCTTTTTCTTACGGTCAATTAAAATGTATTTTTCCGTAGAAAATCATACTGATGTCTTTATTGCCCTGAAGTACCAGGTTCTACACTAGGAGCGCTAATGGAACTTGTTACAATCCTGTCGTGCTGGAAAAAACACGAAGTGTCCTGTATGTCTATAGTATTGTGAAAGGAGCAACACCCCCGACATGTATCCGCCCCCCGAGCGAAATATGGTCGTGGCGAGCAGCTATAAGAATTTCGGAACAGAAACGGTCAGTACACTGACTTGCCATGGCCATGGGAGGACTCAGGATCGACCCACGTGAAAAATCACCAATAATCTTTCCTTTCCCAACCTTCACTGAAACTTCTTAGCTTGCGAGACCACGAGTACCCGCTCAGGAACGAACAAAATTGCACTATATCTTGTACACGTTTCTAACGCCCTTCAACCTACAGATCTGCCGATATCTAAGAGTATTGTAGCGTTTATAGACGAGAGTAAATAAAGCACCAAGTTACCTCGGATGCGTAATGTATTATGGGCTTAATATGTAATGTATATTCTATTGTAAGTGTAAAAAATTATTCCAGTTTCGATTGGCGGCTCAGTCAAATAAAATTTTTTTCTCGTTGAACATAATGTCCTATTCAATCTGTCGTTTCCCTTTCTTGTCATATGCTTGAAAACTGTTAAAAGTTCACATTTTCTAACTCTTAAAAATGTTTAAAGAAAAGAAAAAATGTCTTTGATTAGCCAAAACATTATTGGGATATATTATTTCACCTATGTAAACACTAATTAAATTTGATATATTTTATCACAAGGCAGTGGTTATAGTGAAAGCGTTGCATTAAATTCTAAGTATGTGACTCACTAGTATATCTCAATATAGTCAATTGAGTTCAACATTATCACACTTTCTAGGTAAGAATCAAGAAGAGCCAGAGAAAAAATGAATCTAATTCATCATCAAATATAAAAAAAGTATATGAAGAATCTACTAAAATACTCACTAATGCTTGCTATTGCAGCGCATCCAATATTTTTTTACGCCACACAAAAACAAAGACTTCAGAACAATTCTTCTCTTCGTTCATAACATGCATAACAATTTGCTAAACAAAAGTTAAAGTAACAAACTTGAAAATCTATCAGAAAGTAAATAGGAATCTTAAAATGTCTTAGAGTAACCTAAACTGCAGCCTCTTTTTCAGCACAGCATTGGATTTAACGTGAATCTATTGTGAATCCCAATAATGAGACTTGCAGATAACTGAAGGTTGAAATCATCCGGAGATTCACCACCTGTAATAGATAAAATATGCGTTTCTTTAATGCATTCGTGCTATGAAGCCTCGATCTACATCGTACAATCCACCTGATTGGTGTTTTTAATGCCGAACTGTTTCGATATGTCATTGTTCTTCTTTACGTCCAAATTAACTACCTATTTTAAAAAGCATATTTTGACTTATTTAGCGAGTTTTGGTCATCAAAACTCTCCCCTACCCATAATTATTTCTCCCGATACCTTATAAAATGGCTTCGACATATGATCTGCCGGCGGATCTACAAAAATTATAGACTGAGTTGGTGCGATTAGACAATCGCCCATACACGCGCGTCTAGTCGTCTGGTAAATTCCAAAAATAAATACACGCGCCATACAGCAGGTCTCAGCCGTCTGGAAATTCCAGATGAATAATAGTTATTCTGCATTTATGATATCTTATCAAGGGAAAATATTCTATTATTTAACATTCCCAACAGAGATATCTCCCACCATCAGGGCTCCGCTCCAACCGGACAAACCGGATTCCTAAACTGTTCTTTAAGGTATTGTGTTAAAGGAAAGGAAAAAGACCCATAAAGAAAAGATAAGGGTGACTCAACTAAATACAGTCTGAAAAATTGGAAAACCAAATAAATTTGAAAACAATTACAAATAAATACAATATAGACACATTATGAAAGAGAAAATTTAACATTTTTCTATTTACAACGACGTTTCGCCGTAAAGAAGCACGACGAGGAATGCGCGGGGTTAAACAAGCACGACGAAGTGGAGATCCGGTAAAAGAGCACGACGATGGAGATTCGCGAGTAAAAGAGCACGACGAGAGCGAAGATTCGCGTAAAAGAGCACGACGAAAGGAATTCGTGGAAAAAGGCACGACGAAGGAAGAGCATGCCGGTAAAAGAGCACGACAGGAAGATCGCGGTTTAAAAGAGCACGACTATGGGATTTCGCAGGAAAGAGGCCGACGAAGGAAATGCGCGTAAAAGAGCACGACGAAGGGAAGAGCGTGGTAAAAAGCACGACGAATGGAAGATCGTGTAAAAGGCACGACGAGAGGGAAGATTCGTGGTAAAAGAAGTCGACGAAGGAAAGATTTCGTGGTTAAATAAGAGGTAAAAGAGCACGACGAAGGGAAGATTCGTGGTAAAAGAGCTCGACGAAGGGAAGATTCGTGGTAAAAGAGCACGACGAAGGAACTGCTCCAGCATTCGCCAGTTGTTGATCGGAGAAACAACGGAAATCCACCGATCAGAGCAACCGGCCACTAGGATTCCTCTCCATATAGAGCGGCTGAATTCGATCTGGCTATCTAGCTAGTGTCGAAAATCCTGTCACCAGTGGTGAATCCTAAACATTATTTTAAGTATACCGCACCTTGTGGAGGCTACCAAGTTTACTGGAAAGTCAGCTCTATTTGACGAGATTTCTTCAAAAATCGCTCCAAAACAGAAGTGTAAAATTTTCATGAACATCGTTACGAAATTTACAAAGTAACTACTTTTCAATCGACATTGTTGACAGCGAAGATAGTGTTTCTTGGCACATGGTTGATCTGCAGCGAGATTTCACTCTTTTCAAGGTGGAAAATGACCGTCTAACTGAAGTTGTGCTTGATCTGGCTACAGTTAAATAGACATGCTAATTTGTATTCTTCCGGCATGGCCCACGTCAAGTCTCTCTCGTCCTTGATTTTTACAATCTAACAGATAATCTTACTTGAAAAAATTGATCTTGAGTCAAGTACACAACACTCAATTCATTTTTCAGGCTATTTGAATGACGAACGAATGACTGAACGAATGACATGAACATATATATAAACAAAGCTGAGCATGAAAGACATTTTCAACACATGAAACTCTTTTTAAAAGATTTCACAGCGTTGGTGACGTCAAATGTTTGCTAGTAAACGTTAATAGGACTATTTCACACATGAAATTAATACACAGTTATTAGCTCTACATTCAAAATATCTAAAAAAGTTTATAGCTTTTTCTGCCCGATTTTTCTTACCACTTTTTCCTTCTGGCCAATCAAACTGCAACTCGTCAATGTTAGGAGGTAGATCGCTTTGTCGATCTCCAATAAACCGCCTATGTATTACGTTTGATTTTATATGACATTTTCAATATTTGACGCATTTTGAAACTCTCTTGGACATAATTTCACTCGTGAAAGAGCCCTATTAAATACCACTCGAGCTTTGGAAATTCTCAGATAAATTCCCTCCTCGCTTCGCGAGTTGGGGATCGTATCGACAATTTCCAAAGCACTCGTGGTATTTTCTTTCTTCCCCTGATCATAAACATTCTCATTTACCCTTAAATATCAGAATTACTTTATGATTTCTTACCGAAATTGTTCGTTTTTATGGGAACAAACATTTTGATCATCACTATTAATTTCTGAATTAGTTTCAGTTATAGTGTTTCTTCGCAGTTTTGGTAAATTTAAATTAAGAGTTGGAATAGAACCGTGTTTCAGTTTTTTGACTCTTCTTGGGTTTTTTCCTTCTACACGAAGCTTTGTTAAAACATAATGAAAACAGTCATCTGTAAAATGTTCTTCACAAATCCAATCTGAAAAAAGAATGATCACATAAAATTGTACTTCTTCATTAAAAGAAACACATTCTTCAAGGAATGTAGCCATATACTTGGGTTTTTATTTCTTGTCGCACTCGAAACGGTCGCGATTACGGCACGACCGAGGAAGACGCGTAACATAATACAGCATCGTGAAGACAAGGCCTGGCGCACAAAGAAATAAAAACCCAAGAATAATTATAAGTGTAAATGCACTTTCCAATATACTAAGATATACTATTTTCAGAAGCAGGAAATTATGCTCAAGTATTTATCGACTATTTTATTGTAATCATTTATGCAAAGTTATCCTTAAAAATGTTTTCATGGCCACAAAGTAGTGATACTAAAACAACACATTCTTTCCTGCATTACTTGTAACTTAGCAATTTTCAAAAAATGAGAGAAAATAGAATTTTCGAAAACGGCTATATAGGACTTGTTTCCTCTGTAATTCGTCTAACTACTAAGCTTTAGAGAAAATAATGTGTCATTTTGGGAAATTTTTGAAAATATCATCTAGGCTTCATGAAAAATATTTCCTAAAATAAAAAATCCATTTTAAACTCATGGGGCAGCGACATCAGCCAGATCGATCGGGTAATAACAATTTTCATGAAAATCCTGCCTAGACGCCAAAGTTCACAGACAGACCCGTTTTGCCTAACCCAATTTTTCCATATCAAGAGCCCACAAAACGTGGAGTCTCGCGAAATAACGAGAAAGACGGAGTTATTTATTACTTACATCTACTACATTAACAACATACTCCGCAGAAACAAGAACTATCTACTTTTTCGGTACCGAAGGACCCACAAAATGAGTTTTTCTATTGAAAATATCGCCGTTTTTGGTGCAGCCCTCTCTCTGCACTAAGTAGGAAATATGCGAAAAAGCAAATTGATGTTACAAGTATTGTTCAAACATCATTTTTTAACTTTAACTTAGTTACTTAGAAGGTGTATCCAAAAATCATTCTGAATGCAATACAGATTTCAGTGTATTGATTGCTATACAAAACGAATTATTCTGAAACTATTTAATAATAAAAAAAATACAATTTTTAACTGTAATAATTTCCACACCTCTGAATACTACAGTTTTCACAAAAAAAGTAATTCAAAATTGTAAAATAATTTAATGATTTCTTACCTGTCTTAACGTTTATATCTTCAAGTTTTTTTTGGCATGCTTTAAGCCATGCATTTAGAACTGTTTTATCTTTTGGGAAAGTAAAATACTTAACTTTTTTTGTTTTTGTTCTCTTTTTACTGTTGTAATTTTTACAGTTAGGTATACAGCAAGATAGCAGACCTGTAAACTAGATTACGTGTTTTACAATTTGGCAAAATGTTTCTTCATATACATTTAACATAAGATTTTAAAATATTCTATTAAGAATCAATTATTTAAAAATATTAGCAACTTTGTTAAATAAAATTATTTCATACAATAAAATTAATGGGGAGAAATTTAGCCATGTGGCCAGCGATGTCACACATGACCTTCGTGAGGAAAAAAGGCTAAGGAGTGGTTAAACAGATCCTTCCTCGGGGCTACAACAAACAATTTATGTGTTTGTAATTTGATATCACTTGGTACAGAGTGATCTCCATGATGCCAGACACATCATTCATGACCTTTCTGAGAAGAGAGGGTAATAAGTGTTTATAGAAGAGTGTTGTTTTGCATATAGTGCATTCAGAATTAGGTGCATGATGTTTGAGACTTAAAACGAGTCCACAACATTTTAAAATGTTCAGTGATTATGTACAATTCGTACATTATATCATCATGTATAAAATTTGGTCGCTAGATAAATGAAAATTGTTTGTTATAGCCTTCAGGAACATTTAATAAAAGCCAAAACATTAACAAATTAAAAAGTTGGTGTCATCATTTGATCTTAACTCAATAGAGTACTTCCCAGTGATTAATTGAGGACAATAAAACTAGCTCATATGACTAATATTAATATAAAAATTATTTCCAATCTGCACAAGCATTAGTACATTTCAAGGTAATTATTAATATACATTTTCTTAAAAAACGTAAAATCAATACTTTCTCAGTCATTTCACTACAACACACTAAAGAATAGTGTCTGTTTTGTACTACTTGTATAAAACACTATCATCGCAAAACACTGTGAACAGTCTACTACTTTACATAGAATTACCCTCATGAGTGCCTCAAATACATTTTAAAAGTTTAGAAGGTTGCAGAGTATGCTGTGCTTCATGCAGGCACAGATGTAATTAGTAATTAACATTTAGCATTATAAGACAAGCTCACACCAATAGTATTACATAATTTCAAATCAAATTGTTAATTAGCATCCTGTGATATACTAGTGCTCGTTTCCATTCCAAAGGAAGAATTATAAGTACTTGGACGAATTAATGGGACCCATCAACTATTCAGAGAAAATTGGCCACACTACACATGTTCCACATCCTCAACGAAACAAGATTTTTGTTTTGATTCATTAGCCTCTGACATTCCAATTCTTTCATTATTAGGACATAATGAATTAATAAGACAGAAATTTTAAATGATATTGATTTAATTTTTGTGTCAAACATAAAATACATATAACATATTTATAAGAAAAAAATGTTTAAACAAAATTATTTGGGCTATTTTCAAGAACTATTACTATCCCAATTTGCAAAAGATGTCATGGTGAAATCAGTTCTTCAGGATGAATCTTCTAACAGGCAATTTTGTCTTCTATTTCAAAAAAAGCCCTTTCTACATCTCATGATGTGACGCATATTGTTGTATTTTACAAAGGTTTGTGCTAAATATTTATCTAAAAAGTATGTTCATGGATAAGATTATTTTCTCATTTCAAAATAATCTCCTCGTTTTATTATTTATCCCCTCTGTATATACTCGATGCCTCAACAAATTTTACTTTCCCTCAATTATGGTAATAATTTTACCTTATCTTTTAAGTGTTTTTTCTTAAGTTGTTGTAGACAAAAAAATTTAAAAACTTGCAAATAAACTAATTTCATGTCCCAAAGCTCTAATATAAACATTGTATGCAAAATATCTCAGATTCAATATTTTGCCATGTCACAGAGAAAAGTTTCATGACCATAACCAAAACATACGCAATTTCAGCTCTAATTTCAAGTAGAATTATTCTAAAATTAAAGTATTTCAATACTTTCCCACTCTAATTTAAGAATTTGGTACCACGGAGGAAAGCATGCTTGTGCCACAAACAAGTGACAAAGAGGTTGTTGGAGAAATAAAATTGCACAGAAATTTTAGATAACAGAGCAGACCTTAACGTTTTGATACAGTACACATTTGATGTGTCACTAGGCTGTCAGATAACAAAAATGTATGTGTATACCATAGGAATAACTTGTGATTTATTTCTCAATGACTGTAAGAAATGAAAAATAAATTAATTTTAAAAATTATAAATGTCACTGAAAATCTACATAGTAATATTTACTTCAAGAATTTACAGACAAATGATTTCTGTTTTTGTTAATAGTTTCAGTTCTTTCACCAAGACTGTGCCTATTATCATCTTCTCTGCATAGTACAGAATTCTGCCAAACATGAATTTAAGTATATTTTATTAAATTTTCCAATACAGAAAAGAATAAATTTTAAGATTTTATCTCTTCAAATCATAGTTACATTAAAAATACTTGGCACTGCACAGGATTTCATTTTCCCCAAATTGGCGCTAAATACTTTCTCTAAAAAGTAGATTCACAGATAACATAATTTCTTATTTGAAAATAATCTTATCTTATCATTTACCCCATCTATATTTACTCAATACCTCAGCAAATTCTACTTTCCTTCAATTATGGTAATAATTTTACCTAATCAATTAAGTGTTTTGTCAAAAGTTTTTAGGCAAAATATTAAAAAACCTTCAACTAAATTCATTTCATGTCCCAAAAGCTTCAAAATAAGCATTGTATGCAAAATATCTCATATTCTGCCGTTACTCAAGAGTAAATTTTCTTTCACATATGACCATTAACAACACACATACAATTGCATTACAGCGGTAATTTTAAGCAGCATTATTCTCTAATCAAATGATTTCAAAATTTTCCCCACCCAATTTGTGTTTGTTTTCTTTTTACTATAGAGCTGGTGCCACAAACAGGTGAAAAAGAAGAGAAACCAAATTTCACAGAAATTCTAGATAACAGAGCTGCCTTTAATGTACTCATATGGTAACTCTTTGATATGACACTTGTTTGAGGTACTAGCAGAATAACAAAAAATTATGTGTATACAATACAAATAACCTGCAATTTATTTCTCAATGACTGTAAGGAATGAAAAATAAATTCATTTTAAAAATTATGTCACTGAAAATCTACATAGTAATATTTACTTACAGAATTTGCAGGCAAATGATTTCTGTTTTTGTTAATAGTTTCAGATGCGTCTTTTCTTTTACTAAGATTTTTCTTAATATCATTTTTGCTGGATGAAGAATCCTATGAAACATTAACATAAATATTTTTAATAACATTGTCTGGTACAAAAAGAACAATAAATTTAAAAATCTATCTTTTTAATAATATTTACATGGAAAATTCGTGGAACTGCACTGGATTTCAATTTCACTAAATTACAGGGTATTGTATCCCTAATGTTGCCAATTACGACATCGAAAGTTCGAATAATATCCGATTCCTCAAAATGCTTCTCACAAAAGTATATTATTTTTGGAGTTGCCTGCATTTTTCGCATTTTCCCATCAGCAATGGAGAGCCATTTCTCTTGCATTGTTGGGTCCTTAAGAAAACAAAATTTTTAATTTTCTGTTAAGAATTACACTCAGAGTGTTTACTGTTCTTTTAAGTTTAATTTTTGTGTGTCTCTTAAGTCATCTAATTTTTGTTTGACAATTCACATAGTCACAATTAGAGAAGTTAATTACATTTTAAAAAAGACTTACTATTAATAATAATAATGCAAAATAATATTGATTTTCATTTGAGATTCTCAGACATTTCTTCTAGAAAATTACTTACCCGTGGTAATCTAAAAAGAGGAAGTTTAATATTACGACAATTTTTCGCTTTACTGTACAAACAGGTTTTTATGCAACACACGCGTGGCATTTTGATGTCAGCACAATTGCTAATTCAACACAGATCATCCCAAGATTTTATTAAGTTCAAGACAGCATCGAGACTTCCAGCAGGTATTTAGCATACGCACATTCGCGCGCATACACAAATTCGAATCGCGCAACTTAGTGGCCATTGGCCGAACAGTGCCGACAGAAGTTCCTTAATCTGCCGCCCAATGCTGTGGACAGTACTCTCTTCCATGTGTCTTCCACGCTTTTCACACCCTGCATCGTAGTATAGTTTCCCAGTCAGCTCACAATCTTCATGGTTTCACAGGCGGAATCGTTTGAAAGCAGTTTTACACAGTGCAGTTTAGCGTAGATTCTCACACACAAACTATACAGAATCATGAAAAACGCAATCTAGAATCATCTAAGCTACAATCTAGAAGTACAAAGTACACCACGAAGTTTACAAGTATATTCAATCTCGGTAGTAGGGCATGTGCAATAAGAGTCAGCGGTGAAATCTGCACACTTGAACTTCAGCGACATCACGCGGTGAATGGGAGAACCTTTTACATTTTCGGCCAATGGCCATCAACCTCATATGTTGAAGTACGTTTCTGGCCGAAAAAGTCGAGATTAGTTTTTTCGTATGCCTCTCACGAGTTCTTACGTTTACTAGATTTACAAGCTCTGCACTTTTCATTGAGTAGTGCAGAGCTTGTAAACATACTGAATAGTATTCAGTACGTTTTTCTTCTGTCCATATTACTACAAAATGCCACTGGTGGCTCTGCCGGCGAACAAATGAATTATGACGTCCGAGACAGCACAATTGGCGGTATTTTTGTTGGAGCATGATTCTTCGCTTTCGATTTAATAAGAGAACAGAAAACACGCAGAAACCCAGTAGCATAACTAGCCCTTCCGGAGCACTTAAAAAACTAAATTGGGGAAAAAGCTTGCTGAAAATTAATTGAAAGAAACTTTATTAATCATTATCAAAAAATTCAGAATCAAGCTCTGCGGACTTTCGCTTTGACAAACATCTATAACATCGCCCAGGTTCGCTTTTAACGAGTTCGTCACTTAACTCTCTTCGGACAATATGCTAAGATCCATCAGTGACTCCTGTTCCATCGAGTTTTGCCGACTATTTCATTCATTAAATTAAAACCAATAGTGTTTAACTATACATATAAAATGCCCCAACCAGGGCGGTGTATCTCAATAAGTCTATCGCTTTTTCAATCCGATTTTTCTTACCGCTTCTCCCTTCTGGCCAATCATAAACTGCGAATCGTCTACTTTATGAGGCGGTTTACATGGAATGCTGTCCAATAAACATCTTTGATTTTAACATAGCTTTTAGAAATTTTCGATATTTAGCGCATTTTGGAACTCTGTTAGGCATAATTTTATTCGTGGAATAGTTCTAATTAATACCATTCGTGCTTGAAAATTCTCAGATAAATTTCGTTGCTTCGCTAGTCGAGAATTTATCGACAATTTCCAAAGCACTCGTGGTACGATAAAGCTTGCAAAACATCAGCATAATTCATCCGAATCGCCAAAAGGGAATCATTTCTGCTGGACCACCTAGTAGGACACAAATGCTTTAGTTGTGGGCGTTCAGTTAGACAAAAAAATTGTTTTACGGGGGCCCCTGCGTCCCGGATGTATATAGAAACGGAAGAATACCTGGAAAAGAAGGGAAGTTGCTTGAACGGGCTGATAGGCCCTTCTCTCTACAAAGTACATATTACGTCGCACCGGGAGAGAGGGAGGAAGCGGAGGTTCACTAAAATTGAGATGATTTGCAGTGCACATACTACTTATTATGAATAAATTCCTACTTTACTTTAAATTATGGGATGAAATATTAGTGAACCAAAATGAAATTTTGTGACCACAAAAATGAGTTACAAATGGCTGGCTGTGCAGTTTACATTAACTTCAATTATTGAATAGAACTTGTCACCGTAAGGGTTCATTGGTCGGGCTCTGCACCACACTTATACGGGCACAAGGCATTGCCGAATACCTGCTATTTGGTCGCTACGGCAAGCGTGGTCCTCAGTAGTGCTCCTCTCCCGGGCGAAGCGGGAATGCAGGCGTCCCACACCGTTCGCCGATTACGCGAAGCGTACCATCTCTACCATATACTCTCTGGAGCGTACCGCAGCTAGACCCCGGAACTGGAGCTAGTTTGGACCCTGGCAGCAGGAGTGTGCTCGCGGCACACGGTCTCTCGCCACAGGGCTCGGCAATGATTTTCTGTCGAAAATTAGCTGCAATTTCCCGCAACAATAAATACTTTCTTTATAATATTGCGTAAGCAGAAGCGAGAAAGTAAAATGACTGCCTTTAATATTGTAGTTGTAGGAAGACGCTGGAAAAAAATTGAACTTTTGCAATTTCCGATCAATCAGACAATTAAACGGAAACGGGACCGGAGTCGTCATTCCGAGCGTTTATAATACAACCGAGTATCAATAAAAATATTTGGAACAATTTTTGAAAAAATGTTGAAAATATGATTGAGGCTTCAAGTACCGCAAAAATAATCCAAATATCCGTTACAAACTCGCAGAGCCTCGAATTCTTTCTAATGCAGTAAGGAGAATAGTGAAATTGTTCGCTGTCATATATATATATAGTATATAAGTTATATTATAATAATATTAATATATTATCTATATATATATATATATATCTATATATATACTATATATATTATTATTTTTTTTTTGGGGGGGGGGGGGGGGGGGGGCCCCCACAAAACACCAGTGTTTGTTTGTTGTTCAGGATTCGGAAATACAGATGTTTTGAAAATATATCAATTTTAGGATCAAGGACACCAGTAAGATGCAATTCCACTAAAATCTCAACAGCTTTTTGCATCATTACACTACACAACTTTCTCTGCACTACATATACAAGAAAGTTAAAATAACAGCTTTTTTCGGGAGGAGGGGGAATGGACTTGGGATTTATTAGAGGTAAGTTTTCAGAAAACAAATTAATTACAAAAACCGAAAAATAGTTATACAAAAATTTAATTTTCTTTGTACATCACAAAAAGAACAAGAATCAGAAAATCCTGTTCATTGACACAACTATTTTACACAATATATACAAGAACATTTGTATCTAATATATCACATTTACAGTTTGACAAAGGGTAACCAGAAAGTTGTGCGTGACAGCTGTATTCTCATAAACCACTGAAGTTAGGACCTCAAACTTAACAAAATTTAATGAACATTGTAAACAAAGTCACTTTCAAACACAAAAAAGTCAAAAACAAAAGAAGAGAAATAGATTTAATTTCATACATACAAATGTACTTCATTTTCCTGGAAATTCTACTACACAACGGTATCTATTGTCCAAATTATAATGTCCACAAAGCAAGTTCACCATTTTATATCCACTATTTGTTTGAAAACATTTAACAAACCAAAAAAACTGAAAGTATTTTGACTAGAAACACAAAGAGAAACTGATAAACACACTCTTGAGTCTTCTAAAGAAAGAGAACTTTAAAAATGTTTGGCTGCTCCCTGTTGCCATGCATAAAGATGATATGCAATTAGTTTTAAAATTCCAGAATTAAATATACAAGCAATTTGATATCAAAATAATGCTTTGATTTACAACAATATGTTCAAATATTAACCAGCTCTCAATTTATAAAGTATTCCAGAAAAATCACTTAAAGCACATATTACCAATATAAAAAAATACAAAAAAGTCCAGCACAGTCAATATCTCCTGATCCACACTCATAATTTCAAAAATCTATGAAAATTCTTTGAGCCAGGTTAAGGGTTAGTCTGTTTCTTGCAAAAGGCTGTGCCCACCCCAATTTCATTGTCTATTAAAGTGACAGGAATTAGTTTTATATTTGTAGCAGCAATACCCTTGGCAGTTAAGACTACCTGCTGGTGGGCAATGAATCTGCTATAAATACATAAGTTATCAGACATTAGCAACATTTGTTTAACCATTTATAAATTGAAAAATGACAAATTTCATCATTTAACAGTAAGATTTACATCAGATTTTCTATTAACAATTACATACTCACACATAGACAATACCCTAGTTTCCCCTTCGTTTCTTTTCTCACTGTTATCTGCAACACTGAAAGTTAATGGTCTTAATATTACTTATGCTAATTTTTAAAAGTTTACACTAATAATTTTGTTTTGAAACACAATCAGAATTTTACTTTGGAAATTAACACGTTAAAAAGTTATATGCATGGCTCAAAAATTGAAGGGGCCTAAAATACATGAGAACAAAAATTACACAAGTAAATTGTATGATTGAAGAAATTTTAGTGTAATTTAGTACAGGGAAGTACCTCTATAAAGCGACTTCCATATTGCGCATCCCTGCAGATTCTCGAATTCCTGAAAATATTTTCTGACGAGCTACAGCTGAGACATCTTATCACATTGGCTATGAGAAAATACACTATTTTCGAAATTATAAATATTTCCCTCTAACCAAGCCTTTCCATTCTGAATGTACATCATAATTTATATAAAACTTCTACACGAAAGTTCTGATTGCTTATTTGCAGTTATCAAGGTCCTAATGAAAATGGCTCCAATGAAAATACATATGACACAAAACTTTTCATGCACCCTATATTCCTGTATTACAATAAAAATAGATACATTTAATTTTATAAACAACTTGTGGGCACACATATCAAATAACATTAACTGGTCATGTGCAAAACTTGTTTTAACATATTTCAGGCAAATATTTTGGAACAAGAGTATTTCAGTGCTTAATAAAGAAGCAGTGATTTTAATTTGATCTGTAATGCACTAAAAGAGAAACCATCTTTGCCAAAAAGCACACTCATGGAAATTAAAATATCTGTACAGATTTCTCACAATAATGTTCTTTCAGAAGGCATGAATTAAAGTATTTCAATGCAATATGTACAATTCAGAGAAACATATATTAAATGTGAAAAGAGGGATACAAAATTATTCTGAATTTATAAAATAAAAAAAGTAAACAAAATACACTTATATCTTGTTTCCTTTACATCTTGAGCAAACACTTTTCATTTTCTGAAACATGATAGTTTGCTAAGTTATAATTGAATAAATATAACTTGACAAACTCCACACAAACACTAAATTTGACAGATGATAACATAGGCGTTTGCCAATAACTGAACAGAAATATAGATACAATTAAACAAACAAATTTTCTCTCTGTAAGAAAGAAGCAGACTCCCTTGCCATTAAACTATACTGTACCATTTACTTTGCAACCACAGTAGGCAAGTGGCACTGCATGGCCAAGAGGAAATAAGATGATCTATCTTGTCCCTACAAATGTGAAGTGCTGATATGCTACTTGCTTTGATCTACTTCCGTAGACACTGCCTGTCAAAATGCTTCCTACTACTGTACTGCAAGCTGAATGAGACATAATGACATCCTGTGCAATCTCCAAGTCTTTACTCTTAAGATATTTGCTTTATGAAATGGCAGATTGTGTGTCTTTCATAATATACATATAAAAAACTGTCCTCCAGGCCTTTTATTTAATAAAATGCTTACATATGATTTCTAATAAACTCCTTAATTCATGACTTCAAGCCAAATATAACATAGAAATCATTCTTAATAATAATATATTAATAAAAATAGGTGCCTTAGATGTTTATTGGTAGGTGGCAGCATAACAAGCAGACAACTGACACCAGCACTCAGAAGAAACAAATATTGGCATCATTGTATAGATATAAATGCTCAACTAGACATTGAACTAGCATGCTCTTAAAATTTGTACAATCAACTTTGGTCACCTGTGCTGACTGGGTTGAGATTCATGGTACTCTCTTCTTGAAATTAATGTTATACATTTTTACACAACAAAGAATAACGAAAAAAGAAGTACTTCCTATTTTTTTGTAATTATGCAACAAGTGAGACTGCTTTTCTCCCATATATTCTATTCAAAGTAAAAAAAGGCGGGGATGCCAAAAATTGGATGGTATACTATCGAATTCAGATCTTTATTGTTACTTATATGTGTACTAGTCAATATTTTAGCACCGTCGAGTATTAGACTATACTGCAATTTATTTATAGCTGCCTCTGACAGGTCATCAGTTTATGATGTCATCGAATCAGGAGCTAACACCTCACTACAATATCACTATGGTGACGTTCAACCTTCCAATCGGATGACTCCATAACATCTGATTTACATCAGAAGCTGCTCTAAATAAATCCAAGTACAGATACAACACAAATAAGCTAAGCACAAATATAATTTTTTTTTTCTGGATCAATGCATAGTATGCATCATTAGAAGGGAGAACACTCATTACCTGGAACCAATTTTCCTACTCATTCCAGTAATTTCTTTCCCCTAGATAAAAGTTTGTACATTATTTTAAAGTATTTAAATAAAATATACAAAAGTTATACTTAAGAACTAGTCATTATTTTGGAAATAGTTTTTATAATACCTACAATTTCAAACTATTTAATATAAATTTATACATATAAATAAGATTCACAATCATATTTTTGGTCATATTTGTAGTTTTCTTTCTCATGCCTATTACTGCACCAAAATGAGCTCAGAAAACCTTGGTGCAAGTTTCGTTGCAAGGCTTCCTCTTTTCCAATTCTCCATTATGAGAATCTTTTTTCCATAAAAAGCTGTAATAACTAATTCACATTCAGTTACAGGAGTGAGCATTCATTGTCTCTCCTAATAACACTTTCTGGCTGCAAGCAAACCGTATATTGCAAGCCAATGCACCAATTCACTTATTGCACATCTTTTTAGGACAGACAAATGGTGAAGAAAATTTTAATGTCTAATGTCTTCACATTGGACAAGTTTCAAAAGATTGGCATGAGAGGTGAGAATGAGCATTGGACAAACTTCTTTAGATACAGAAAAACTGATCTTTCACCATTACTATTTTAAAAGAACACACAACTAATATGAAAATGCAGTGATCGTCTGAACCTATTTCACTTCAGTAGTTCAAATGCCTTTGCCCTAGCACATTGTGAATGAGGAAAAGAAAGAGAGAAAGACAGGCAGACAAGACAAACACAATGATTCAAAGCACTTCATTCCTCTAGTTTTCCATTTGTCAGCTCATCGATTTTGCTGTAGTAAAGACAAGATATACAATTTTTGCTTAACAAATAAAAACTGAGCCAAAAACAATGTATCAAGAGTATTTATAAAAAAATATATGGTTTTATAATTGTCCCAATTATGTCTTCTCAAGACTTGTAAAAATTCCCGAATTTTCCCTTGAGTTTTCTAGATGAAATTCCCTTTCATTTCCTAGTTTTCCAAAAAGTGGCCACCCTGGTTCATATTGATACTGAAATTTTAAAATACAATTGAAAGAATGGTGTTGGAGCCCAGTATTTTGACAATAAGGATCAAGTGTGATATTTAGCAACTTGTAGATTAACTGACAATGTTTTCAACATATGGAAAAAAACAACAACATCAACAACAGTAGCTTAAGACGCTCTATGATACATTTCAAAAACATAGTCAACGAAGTACATCATCATTTAAAATCATTACTTTTGAGAGTAAATCATAAGTTATGGACACACTGCTTATTAGTTAATTTATTGATTCAAAATCCCTCTCTCCCTCCCTTTTTTTTTTTCTTTCAAACTTTAATACTTCTGCTTCTAAAAAGTAGTAATGTTGAACAATACAAGGGGATACTCAATCTCGATAATAAAATTCTCATGAAAACAAAACAAGAGAACTGTACACACAGACAATAAACAGAAAAATAATGAAATTACATTAAAGATATTTTTTTTAAATTAAGAAGCAAATTCTGGAACATAACCAAATTCACTTGACAATGCAATATAAACATATATGTGCAAATCCTCCAACACAAGAGGTGATGACCTTCCTGGCAAGATTATTATGACAACTAAAAAGTAAAACATTTAAATAATCTATTACTGAGATTAAAGTGAGATTGATGTAAAATAGTGCAAGCACAAAATTCAAACAAAAGATTTTGAAAATCACAAAGATATTTTTTTTTAAAAGGTTAGGAAATGGCAACATGATTTATCAACATTAATTGAAAACAAAGAAAATATAATTATGGAATGCATGATATAACGTGAAGTGTATTGCATACAAACATTGAAAAGCAACGAACGCATTTTATACAAACACAATTGGCTTTTCTTGACTGCAGTACAGGTTTTTGTGCAATATTAAGAGGCATCACTCACAAAAGTCTACAAAAATTCCTTATAGTTTTTAATGAACAAAGTATATTAGAAAAAATTGTATAAAAAAATATTTTTGGAAAATATCTTGCTTATTTTCACCATGTCTTCATAAAAGGTTGGTGAGGATTATAAATTGCACAAATAATAACTTTATTGAAATCAGCCTCTTACATCATCAATTGGAAGAGTTTATGCTCCACTCTGAAGGAACATGCGCATGCCAAGAAATGTTTCTATAACTAAGTGACACAGCTGAGTCAAATGGTTATCAAATATTCCTTGGTCAAGTAGATGAGCTTTCATTTTAGCAGTATTAAATACCTTTTCCCCCACTTGTTCCAGAATTTTCAGAACAAGAAATCTGGTGTTTGACTGTTTAAGAGACAAAGCTCCATTTTCTCGTAAAATTATTTCAGCAATTTTACATATCCTATATACATCTACAGAGGGAACTACATACTTCCTTTGGTTTTCTTTCCTTAAAAGCAATTGTACATTCTGAATATCTGTCAAATGTTCTGCACAAACTACGCAAAGTTTTCGGCTCAAAATTTTATTGACAACAAAACCACTCATGTATTTAATTACATCTCCCATAATTGGCTTTAATGACAAGACAGCATTAAAACATTCCTGATCTACTCCTTCTAAATAAATGCGATTGTTGTAATCAAAAATTGGATCAGTGTAATTTTCTTTTAAAGAAGACACACGTAAAATATCAATTCCATTAATCAAATAATCAATGTTTTCAAAATTCCTACCACATTTCAAAATTAAATTTCCGTAGATACATTCAAACTCCTTGGCACTCAAATAGCCATTTCTTACATTATTCTTCTGCATGGCATTAAAAAATGTCCTTACATTATCTAGCGACAATTTATGTGTTAATAAATGTTTCAAACCTAAAGATTTCCCCTTGTCATAAAGTTCAAAAATATTTGTTAAAGAGGCAATGAATCCCAAGAACCCTGTTTTCCTGCAAGACTCTACCAATGGTGTACCATAATTGTTCTTTAAACCCAATATATACTTTATGAATACACTAGCTCTTTGTCGCAATGATGTGATGGATTCTTCATTCACAGGTACTCTATACTTCTTCTTTGAAAACACATTTTTGCAATTTAACATATCAAAAATATTATTGAACATTAAACAATATACTGCAGTAGAATAACATCCTTCAAATGCCTCCATATTTTTTTCCAGAACACTCATGAAAGCTTTATACACACTCCTGCTGAGTGTCTGAAGACATATTTTTATATCCGTTCTTTTGTCTTGGTATGACACATGTGATTCGGTAAGCTTTGTGTCCACTTCCCAAGGCAACTCACATTGCACTTTGCAAAGTTTTTTTATGTAAGCCCATTTAATAAATTTGTTTTCAGAATCTAAAATAATGTCTTTGTCACCTAAAGCATCTCGTACCAATTTCATCATAGAGCAAGCATCATAAAATACAAATATTTTTTCACGAGTTACTGGATTCAAAAACCATGGCTGGAATCTTTCACCATACAAGAAGTTTGCTCCAAGGTGGGTACACATGTTTGTATTCACAAGGGAACCGTTTAATGTTATGGATATCACATTAGCACAAACCTCATGAAGCAACTTCAAACAAATTTCAAGCAAATTTGCCCGCTCTTTAGCATTTAATGATTTAATAAAGAAATAACCAACAGGTATACTCCATGAAGCATTTAAAGCTGTTACAAAAAATACTAACACACTTTGTGCTTCAAAAAGGCTGTCACTCTGCATTTTTAGTCCCGTGCCCATGTCCACACCACCGTAAAACCTATTATTCTTGAACACCTTTTCTTGCCGCAGTGTCATTTCACCAATTGTAAGGTTGCATAATATCCCATCACTTCTGCCCGCAGTCTGAAGATAAATAGCAACTAAAGCTTCTTGTGAAAAACCGGGATTTGCATTTCCCACACTGAACCACTTCTTAATTGTAGACACACGAGGTACAAGATTTGGCCATAAATTATTAACATAATTGTAAGCATCCACAGAAAAAAAATGAAGAGTCACTGCAAAAGTTCTCAATTCAATTCCCCAAGGTCCATGGCCTCGCGCTTGTAATTTTTTCGAAATTAAGTCATGGAGTTCATTGAGCTCTTCAGACATGGAATTCTGAAACAGAATGAAATCAGTTAACCCATTGTGCTACGGCAACCATAGAACATAGTGCACAATACTATCTGAAGTAAATGAAATGTTGACATTGAGAAAGACTAAACCAAGAAGAATGAAATTTTGCTAGAAAGTTTACAGATCACAGTACAGCATTTATTAGTATGAGAAGTATGAGCCTCGTCTGTTGGCAAATCATCATATTATGAGGTGCAATATGTGGTTTCTGGTTGAATTATTTGAAAAAGGTTGTTTTTTTTAATATGGCTGAGGTTTTTATTAGTCTCAATGCTTCAAATGATAAAACAATTTCAGATAATAGGATCTCAACCAATGGAGTCCCCATTATTGGGTTATATTTTTTTGCACATTGATTAATTTATGGCCCATTGAGTAACAAAGATATGGTATGTATAGCATTGAGTATTTTATTCACAGTAAGAAACATGATATCTATTTATGTATGTACTGCATTCAAAATTGCCTCCTGCACTGGTCCAAAATTTGATATGAAGGTTTCAGAAGTGTTTACCATATTTATTCCAGTAAATTTTAATCACTTAGAAATCATTCATACACGATATCCACAATTTTATAATTTTGCCATTTTGACCCTTACTCCTCCCTCTAACCACCAGTGTCCAAAATATCAATCTTATGAACACAATTTGTAATATTTTACCTTTGACCTTACCTTCCCTTCCCTTTTCAAAATTTGCATTTATAAAAATTACTATAGTGCAAACTGTAAATTATGTTCAAGTAAGCAATATTTTAAAATAGCTTGTTGATATCTTTTGTTAATTATAGAGTGAATTAAGTGAACGTATTGTATTGCTGCCCAACGTTTGTTTTGAGATAACACAGTTTCTCTGACATTCCTCTTCTCCCTCAATCTAACTCTCAGTTATGTTACACCCTAAAAGACGTACCCCAGCCTCATACTGTCATGTCCCTGTAGGTTTAGGACCAAAGCAACTAGTCATTAAAGCCTGTGGGGCTGACGGGATGCATGGAACATTTAACAATTTAAGGAGATACAGTAGTGGACTTGGAACATGGTGTAAACATCACAGTTCATGCACCCACTTCTATTGCTTCCTCCATCTGTCCACTAGCTGTGATTCTTTGCCCTCTCTCACATCCATTTGAGTGAGGGGAAGGAAAAGTTGTTTTAATAGGTGACAGTGGTTTGAAAAAAGCCCCAACCATGCAACGGCTCACAAGCAAACATCCATGCCCAAGGAGGGGTTTGAACCTTTGACCTGAGAAAGCTAAGACATGCCCACCCTTGCTCAGGTTGGCATTTCTCAATGTATTCTAAAACACCTATTCAAACATACCATTAGGAAGTCAGCTGCATCTTTAGACAGAAGATCCCTTTTCTGGAGATGGCACAGCAAATCATCCAAAGAATTGATACGCTGCTTGATGCGGTTCATCTGCTCTTCCACCATGTTTCTGTCTCTCAATCTTTTCAGTTGCCCTTCTTTCCATGCTTGCTTAGGCTCGGTGCTTTCTGAAGAAGATGACTCCGCCGAAGAAAGAGAGAGTCGTCGCTTTTTCAGAGGTGGGGAATCATCCAATTCTATAACTATGTAAAGCAAAACCAAATTTGAACTTTATTCATTCACTAGTACACATATGCTTTGGAGACAGGGACCAGAGTTCATTCATATTTTTGAGACTGGGTGATCAGCTAAACGCTAGCTCTAAAGGACAGATTTAAGAAGATATAGAAAAGAAAGGATTAATGTGGACCTTGAGACAATTTATAAGAAACATGGGAACCGATTGCACGAATATTTGAGGAATCGGATGAGTTTGAGTGGGTGACCGATGATTTGAATGACAGGGTCAAGGACTTATATAATGATGAAACAGGTGATTATGGTGGCATGGATAATTGCAAATATTGAAAGTAATAGAAATTTATCACATTGAAAAGAAACATTAGCATTGCATTTTTAATAATTTTTCACACAAGTTAATTACGTTTTGTTGTGAAAGTACTGCCTTGAAAAATTGAAATAAACAATTTATGTATGCCAATATAATTATTATTCTATATATTTATTATTATTTAATATTATTATTTGATGCAATGCTGATGGTGTGCTGCTGAAATCAACTCAGCCCGAGGGACCACAAAATTTCAAAAATGTTCTTGAATGGGTTAATTTATTTAATTGCACAATTTTTATAACAATTAATATGCACCCCAAATCAGAATATATTGGTATTTACTATTGCCTGTAATTTTAATAATAAATAAATAAACAAATAAGTAAATACATTTATACAAATCATTACAACCTGACAACTTGATCTTCTTATCAGTCTTATAAAACCTGTTTGTTGCAAATAAATATTTAAAAAATCAAATGTTGCTGACAAGCTTGAAACATGCTAAACAGGATTGCTAAATATATAAGTGGATAATTTAATGGAATGGGAATCACAACTTCAAAATGCAGGTATGATATATGGGAAAACATGGTAGCAGGGAATATGCTACAGAGCGATTTTTATAAAAATGAGCCAAAGTGACAGTTCGCTAAACAACAAGTGAACATCACATGTAATTCAGAGAAGTATCCCTCCACGGCAGCATGCTGTTTAGCCTCGCCTCTTCATAAAGTGTTTGTTTACGGCTCTCATGAAGATATACAGAAGTCATGAAGATATCATGAAGACATACTGAGTTTCACTCAGTTATATGCACATAGATGAGTCATTGAGTTTCGCTCAGGTATATGCCAGGAAATATTGAAATATAATTACGCATGTGGGAAAATGTCTTAAAACTGTCTTGTTGCAGCTGTCAGACGAGGACATCCCAAAAGGAAGCGTCAAAGCCATTTACAAGTTAGCCAACTGCAAACGAACAAATGGAGGAGGAGAGTCTAATAGGCTCAAGTACACAACGATCACAGAGCCTTTAGTTGTGCCAATACTAGCTGTCAAAACGGTCCATTCTTATAAAAATAGCTCTTTAACAGAGTTCCAGGTGCATATGAAATATAGCAATTAATACAAATAAAAACATGATTAAACCAAGAAAATTAAAATAATAATAATAATAATAATAATAATAATAATAATAATAATAATATTAATAAAAAAAATTTACCTTCATTTGCCATGTCATCACCCTCATTACATTCTGCATCAGTCTGACAGGACTGCTCCACCTGCCAGGCAGCAGCAGCAAGGGTCTGAGTCGAGCCATCTATGACTTGGGCAGGTTTCCTCAAAGTCTGGGGGTGAACAAAAAGCCCTGGGGGAGCCAGTAACCGGGGGGCATATGGGGTATTTTGAACCGGCGGGGCATATGTAACCGTCGGCGCCAAAGGCAATCTGGGACCACTGTAAGTGTGCAGAATTCTCATAGGCCGAGAATAATTAGCAGAGTTTGAGAAAAATACTGGAATTTTAGTACTTGTATTCTCCATAGTCGGTTGAACTTTTGGGACAGCTCCCTCTGACAGTGCTGGTCGGACGAGTTTAAATTGAGAAAAATTAGATTGCTTTGGATCTCTAACCCCCACGTGCCCATTAGGATTTGAAACACTTTTTGTGTTTTTGGATTGAACTGCAATTTTTTGATTGTGTATAATGTGATGATAAGATTTAGAGTGTGGAAGAAAATCTTCAGGCTTTGGGAGAGCCTTAAATATACCTTGGAACTTCCCAGGACTATCGCTTTGATTACTAATGTCATTTTTCTTCGATATGTTTACTTTCACTGGGTTTACAATTTGCTTTTTAGCCTTAACAGGCTCCAATGTTACTTCTACAATATCTGGTGAATTGATTACATCCCTCTTTTCTACTGTGCCCGGTTCACTTGATTCAAATGTTTTTAAAGGATTTGGCACAGAAATCGATGGGACCGCACTTGGTTTCAAAATTCGTGGACAACCAGGTTCGTTTGAAAAACCAATATAGTCATCATCCACAAAATGATTGGAACATATCAGCAGTGATGATGTGTTCATATAATCATGTTCAATTAAATTACACACCTTCTTCCACAATCTATTCACCTGGGTATCATGAGGGAATCTGCAAGAAACCATTTCAAAACTCATTAGTCCATTATCTAAGTACAATAAACAGTGCACCAGTGTGGACAACAAAATCATTAAAGAAAATTCTCTAACAATTCTGACACTTTATTGATATTATTCCTCAAGGTATAAGACAGTTTTATATCTAGATTCCATCTTCCTAAATTTTAAGGAGATGGCACTTTAGTTTTTTTTATTGAAAAATACATACTCTAAATAAATGGCCCAGGAAGCACAAAAATTCTAAGAGGAAACTTTTAGTAAAAAGATTGTGGCATTCCTTCATTTCTTTCATTCCAATATTGTTGACGAAATAACTACACCCCTCCCATGCCTTACCTCCCAAACAAATAGCACAAGTGCTCAAGAAAACATGCTCAAATAATGAAGCTGTACTGACATCCAGAAGCTAAGCATGGAAGTCATCTCACCATTTATTCAATGGATCAAGGGAAACTGCACAAAAAACCTTGATTGAGATGGAACTTGCTCAATCAAGACAGCTAGTAATAGTAGTGATGGTGATGATGATGATGATAATAATAATAATGATGGTGATGATGATAATAATAATAATAATAATAATAATAATAATAATAATAATAATAATAATAATAATACAAAGAACTTCACTTTATTCTATTGAAATACTTAAGTTGATGTACGTGAATTGTGTTAGTTGGCAGAAAAGATGTCTACTGCCACTCCTACTAGTCTGCTCAAATAAAAGTTCAACCTCAGTAAGTAATAAAAAAAATTCGTATTTAATTGCTATTTACATATAATGACCTTAGGAATCCAAAAATACCACATTATTGAGTACTTCAGTGATTTGGAGCAACTTCAGATAAAAATGGAGAATTTAGTGAAATTTTGAAACATCTTGGCTCTCACACTATTTGATGAAGAAAAATCATTTACGTAGCAAATTTAGATAATTTTATGACCTTTAAAACTGCACATAGTAATATCCGTGCAACTTGACCGACAGCTTGGAGAAATGCAGGTAAAGGGGGGGGGGGATTAGTGCGAAATCTGCCACCAGATTTTATGAAGCAATGCCAATCTCTCATACCTTTGGGCATCTTTTTCAATAATTTGACCCTAACTATCTCACGAGTTTGAGGTATCTCCTAGTTCTGGACCGGTTTCAGCCATTTCTTTAATTTTTTGGGGTGAAAAACATGAACAGGAGTTCTTGTCTTTAACAACAAATAGTTTTTATTACATGCCAATGAAGATATGTAAGGCATGTTGTCAACAGTGCACACTATGAGCGTTTACCTTCAAATGTTTATTGTACCAGGGAAGGGGTAGGTAGGCCAACAGGCAAGAAAAGTTGCGTGGGTAATTACTTTTTTTGCATGAAGATTGGCCATTATAAAGTTATGACACAAAAAATGCCCCAAATGCCATTTCAGGGTTTCTTTTTTGCCACCAAAAAGTTTCTTGAAATATTTTGGGGTGGAAAACTTCTGGTATTCTTAGTAAGCCCACATAAACAAATTCAAAAAATAAAACCTTCTACCCAATCTTTTGCATGGTGGACTCCCTTATAGCTCCACATCGACTGCACTACATACACATAGGTCCACTTAACTCTATTTGAGCAAAAACATTAAAGTAAGTTTCCCTGGCCTGGAATTTGAACCACCATCACCGGATCATTACGTACATCAATTCATGAACACTTTTTTCATATTAGTAGTTTTCGTGTAATATTGTAAGTTCAATAGTGACAATTTTCCACGAATTTCACTTCACTTTCGTAAATTCACTTAACAAAACAAAACATAATAGCAAAAATTATCTCTAAGAAAATTTCAATGTATTTTTTAGAAATCACAGGAATAAACAGACCTTGAACTTGCCTGTGCATAGTTATGGGAGACTGAATACCAATATTTTCTTTGTATTCACACAAGAAACAAGATCTTGTACAGGAGTTGGTTTTATCTACAACATAAATGAACATTAATTAAAACACAATGTCACAGGAAACACATCATTCTTTAAAAAGGTTTTCAGAAATCGTCTGACAAACCCATGTAATGAGCAACTGATTATTACCCAAACAAGCATCTGCTTGTTCTAATCCCACATCAACAGTGCTGGTCTCATTAACAACTACTTCCAAGAGGTTTGAAGGATCAAATTCATCCAGAGGTTCACTTTTAATCTGAAGTTCAGTTGAAGACTCAGGGTCTTCTGGTACGTTAGGTACTTTGATGCATGGAATGGCACCCGGTTTTACTTTCATGCAACAACCTGACGCTTTGACTTTTGTATCTGTTAAATCTTCTGGCTTGAAATGTAGAGAACAAATCCGAACAGCAGTAAGGTCATCCTGATCAGTTAGATTACAAGCTTTTATCCATTCTTTACAGAGTTCTGGATTTGATGGAAATCTGTAATAAAATAACTTTGCTCACTAACAATGCAAAAAGATGATACTAAGATCTCATGAAAGTAGTAATCTAACATTAAATTTTAATTTATTGAATAAAAACTGCAGTGTTGTGGTTTGTTTAGCTAGAGAATTTCATAGGCCTATATGGCTGTTTAAAGGTAAAACCACCTATAAGGTCAATTTCAGCTCCTGTTTTGTGTTTTTATTTATTTATGCTGAAAATACTCCCATTAAACCTATGCATTTCCATACCCAATTTTGTGGCATTTACTTTCATAAAAAAATTTGCATTAAAGGCCAGTCAGACGTGCTCAACCTCAACAGGATACTTAATATTTTTGGACTGATATTTTCTCTTTCTGACAAAGAGATACAAGATTGTCGATTGCCTAAAAACAGAAAAGTACAAAAACAAGTGGCAGTCCAAGGCCACTAGGAGGAGATGCAAAATTGCATGCTTCTATAACTCATTATTTGCTTTCTTCTGTTGGTTGTGTGCTAGTGGCTGATCTTGTCTTTGGACATAAAAGTAAGTCATATTATAAAAGTATGTCATGCATTCCAAATTTGTTCTTTTTGCAATTGAAATTCCCTTAATCCCCCTTGTATTGCAAATCCCGCAAAGACCTTTAAAGCCAGCGCCTCCTTCACTTTAACAATTCTTGGCATTTCATTTATCTTCAAATAAGGAGCTCTTATTATTTTACCATCTCTTTGTGTGTATTGTGACCTACCAGAATGTCACACGAGTGGTAATACCAATGAATGCGGGTGCATTGAGAATGTTAAAATCCAAGGACACGTGTAGCATAGCAACGAACTATAAATTTTAGGCGCCATGATGGAAGCGAGACGAGAATTGTATTTATGGAGAGACAGCACATCCTGGTGTCATTAACATGGAATTGATTAGGGGGAGGGCGTTTAATATTAAATTGTTATAAAATGTAACGAATTCTCACTCTCACGGAAGCAGCGATGCAGTTCACATGGTATGAACATTATTAAATTTACAATAACAGATTTATGTTGTGGGTAAATGTTTGTTTGTAAATAGTTGTAAGCTAACAATTACTGTTTATTTGAGTTGTAAGTGGTAAAAGCATTGTTTTAATAATAGTTACATTTGTATCATGTATAAATTTTGCATTTAAAATATTTAAACTCTGTGTTCGGGGGCTTACATGAGGCTAGTTTGGTTGCTAGCAGGTTTCCTTTTCAAAAAGAGAAAGTTGCGACACGATATTAGAGCAGATGTAGGGATTTTCCGAATAGCGGACTGTATAATTAGCAACAGTCGGGTGACATTCAAAGTTTACACGGACATTAGGCTCATAAATTACACCACAGGAGGAACCAGGACATCCTCTTCTGGAAAAGATTAACCGAGAAGACATTCCATAAGCTTATGAACATTACCAAAGCCATACGGTTGAACAATGTTTAAACTCCATAGAATCATGAATTAATAACAAGCTTGAGATATGTTACTAGAATGTTGCAATAAATGATATTTACTGTTTGAAAAGAAAAGGCTGATATTTCATTGAATTTCCATCAATTCAGTAAGTAGTATTTTCCACAGAAGTTCCAGGAATCGTGATTTCTGTACAGAGTCACATGTCCACATGCAACAGGTAATGTGATGTATGTTGTACGTCGAACTCATGCAAGATCTTAATAAAAAACAGAGCAACTCAAACTATGAGTAATTAGAGCAGTTGATTTACAAGCATAGCAGAGTAAATTAAATTAGTTGATAAATTAGAAATTAGGAAATTTAATTCTGTTCGAAATTTGCATGCCCAATGTGTGGGAGGTTCATTTGGTTGGTTATAGTGTTTGATAAAGGATTCAAGTCAAGGGTGAAAACCATGCTTCTGGTATTTTTGGATCATTGTGATTTCGTTCACAAGGAGTATGTTCCCCCTTCCGTGAAAGCATAGTTTTACACGGAAGTGCTCAGTTGCAAAAAACCATTCAACTGGATGTAACCAGACATCACCCATTCCTGGAAGCTTCACCATAACAATGTGCTGAGCCACACCACGCTGGAGAGTAGGTGTGGGAGCAGCTGGTTAAGTAAGGCTTTATCATGTTGCCTCACCACCCTACAGCCCAGACATGGTCATGAATGGACAATGTTTCGACTCCATCAAAAACGACCTACCAGCTGCAATGAGGATTTTCAACAGCATTCTGGACAGTGGCTTCCAAAAGGCAATTGTAGCTTGGAAGATGTGTTAAACTTGGTGTGACGAAACCCAAGGGTCCTAGTTTGAAGATTATTAAGGATTTGTACAGATTTGTGCCATGAATCCAATAAAATCAGTCCTACTACTTTTTGATCACATCTAGTATTTGAAGAAATACCTACCAGTAAATTTATTAAAAATGTCATTACTTTTGGTGGTATATATTTTGTCTCTGATATTCTGTTATTAATATTAAAATATTGTTAAGGCCATTAAATGTAATAAACAGTCATTTAATATATACAGTGAAACCTCTATATAACATTTTTTAAGGGACCATGAATTCTGAACACTGTGTAGAGAAAGACACTATAAAGAGGAAGCAGTGTATATGGGCTTTTGGCCGAGACCATAATAAATTGACGTAACAATGAGGAAAACACTACATTGAGAAACGTTATAAAGCAGTTTCACTCTAGCTTTCAAGAATATGTTTTTATTTGCGCTAAACACATCTTTCAGGTTTTTAGCTCGATTGAACTCATTTTTTATCTCATGTATCAGATATATCTTATTTTGACTCACTGTACACTGAGTTCACAGTCATACATGGATGGAAGTTTAATTTGAACGAAAAAAGGACAGAAAGATTATTACATAATGAAAAGTCTTTGTGGTGGAGGAAGCTTGGGCAATAAAGAAAAAAAACGTATCAAGAAAAAAATGTTCAGGTACATAATTTCTAACACGTTCTCACCAGTTCAAACTTTACTGTAAATTCAGGGCCATCCATTCTTACAAGCCAATTGTAAGTGAGCAGTTCAGTCACATAAGGTCTCTTCAGGTGGATATCTGCCAGAACTAATCATTGCAGGGGAAATGGTCATTGTAGATAAACAACTGGTAAGCTTTTGAAGCAAGTATTCTTTTGTTATAAAGGTGCCCAATAATCTGGCAAAACATAAAATCCAAAAATTTTATGTGAATCCTACAGCAAAGCTTTCAATGGTTCAATTTTTAAAGAAAATAAAAACTTTCATTTGTGCAAATCTTGTAATATGCACAGAACATTCACAAATAATGCTTCAAAAATTGTAAATAACTTACTCAAAAATACTGTTAACAACTTTTAATATTTTAAAATAGAGTACTTACAACTTTATGAATGACTTGTTACTTTGTTATTTGCAGACAATCCGGTTTTAATCACTAGAAATTAAAATGAACTTAAGGAAAATGCTCATATTTTGAGTAATATGACTTTCTTGGAAGATTAAAACCTCAAAATCTCCATCAAAAAAAGTAATGGCTTTCCAACACAAATTCTCTATCAGATCAAAAATATGAATTTAGCATTCAACATTGGAACAAGTAAGAATTTTTAACTACCTTGGCAGCGTCTTCAGTTACAATTATGAGAATGATATTGATTTCAAACTCCCTCAGTTCCAACAAATGTGCAGCACAAAAAGACAGATTCTCTCAAAGAAGACAAGAAGAGAGACGCATCTAAAGACATACAAGGTGAGGACAGTAAACGTTTTGCAGTATGGGAAAGAGTCATGGGTACTGACAAGAAAGAAAAGCAATAATAAACAAACTTCAGAAAAGAGACTTCTAAGAGCAATATAAGTCTGTAGCCTCCTACACCAGGTCAGAAACAAAAGTGTCTGAAAAGACCTGAACATCAACTACATATTAAACAAAATAAAGAAGAAATATTTAACACGGATACAACACCTCCAAAGGATGGAAGATAATATTTCTGATAAAAGTAACCTACCCCTATAGACTAGCTGGAAAAAGAGATTCTGGTCGACTAATGCAACGATGGAGTGAAGCCGGAACAGGCCTTCTAGCCTAAACCATGAAAGGAAGAGGAGGAAGAAGAAAGAGAAGGAGAAGACAAAGGAGGAGAAGAGGAGAAAGTGAGGAGGAGGAAGAAGAAGAAGGAGAAGACAAAGGAGGAGGAGAAGAGGAGAAAGTGAGGAGGAGGAAGAAGAAGAAGGAGAAGAGGAGAAAGTGAGGAGGAGGAAGAAGAAGAAGGAGAAGAGGAGAAAGTGAGGAGGAGGAGGAGGAGGAGGAGGAGAAGGGAGAAGAAGAAGAAGAAGGACAAGGAGAAGGAGAAGAAGGAGAAAGAAAAGAAGAAGATGAAGATGACAAAGAAGAAGAAGAAGAAGAAGAAGAAGGACAAGGACAAGGAGAAAGAAAAGAAGAAGATGAAGATGACAAAGAAGAAGAAGAAGGAGGAGGAGGAGGAAGAGGAAGAGGAAGAGGAGGAGGAGGAGGAGGAGGAGAAGGAGAAAAACAGCAGTAAGAGACGAAGGAAAAGGAGAAGGAAAATAAGGAAGAGGAGGAGGAGGAGGAAGAGGAGGAGAAAGAGAAGGAGAATAGAACACAACATGAACACAAAGATGGCAGTCTGGTTCCGAGTTCATAATGAACAACGACCTGAAAACACCCTGAATCACCTCTCTGAATTGAAAACACTCTACAAGCCCCACTCGATACTCTCTGACATTCAATTACTCCAACATACCTTGGAAACTACACACATTGAAGGGGATGCTGTTTCACCACAAAACACTGTGAAACATTTTACTGATGAATGTTAAACAGACTGAGTGGAATTTTTGAAGGTGTCAACGAGCAACGAATATCATTAGGAGCAGCACTCAATAATCCTTGCTATGCAGGCAATTGATAGTGTTCACATTAACAAGATTCTATTGAATACTTATCCTAATTTGTGTGTTGGGAACTACACAAATATGAATGGACTTACGAATCAAAATTTAAATTCAGTCTGTAACAAACCTCTGACAATAAGAGCAGGCTCTCTAAATACTTAACATATTTGGTATAAAAAATGTGATTTGTGGTAAGATTATTTATTCATTACCATTATTCACTATTCTTACTTGTGCAGTGAAACCATTTCTTCTTGATCCTTAAACTCTTCACACAAATAGCAATATCTATAATATAATTTTTTCTTTTTCCATCCATTTTCACCTGAAAAAACAAAACTACATTAATATAAAAAACCAAATTATTAAAAAATTAATTTGTATCACTCTACAATCATAAAATTGAAATATTTGAATTTTTTTCACTGATAAGTGGTATGACAAATGACAGCAAATAGATATGAATATTTTTGAGATTTTACATTAGATTCCTTAAAACAAATAAATTACTGCCAAACAAAAGATGTTTTGTTGTTCAAAATGAATACAAATAGAAACAAATATATAATCATTTATCTTTTTGACTCACTTTTCTGATTTCCATTACTTTTTTCTACATCTGAAGTGGAGTCATTATCGAGATCCACATCTTTGTTAGGTTTACTAGGAACAGCTTCTATAAAGGAACGACGAAAAACTGGGTTTAACTTCAGTCTTATCATTTTGAAATCACATTACCTTAACATGCAGGTGATTCCTAATGTTGTCATGACATAAGACAATCCCTTGAAGGGGAAAAACTAACTTCATGCAAAACAAATGGAAAGTTAAAAAGAGAATTGTGATATTTTTAAAAGCCGGAATTCACTGTGTGATCTCGGATGTTTGGAAATATTATAATTGTCTAAACGGTTAATGGCACCTTTCTGTCAGCCACTATTTATCAAGGACACTGAAATGTGAACTCGAATTCAATTAAAAGCCCTTTATTAATATTTATATTTGCCTTGGTGTGGGGTCGAAGATCAATTTCAAACTTTGTTTACCAATACAATAGATGATAAAAAATGAGAAAGAATAAGTTTCACAATGTGGCAACTGATTGAAAGTATGAGAATAATAGATAAAATTCCACAAATAATATGAGTATATGTATTTTGTTTTTTGGGGTTAGATTTGTATTATTTTTAGTTACAAAATGAGTGAAGTTCAGAGACAAGAACCCTAATTTAAAAAAATATATAAATATTTTTAGTGAGAAAGTGAATGAGGAAGACAGGGTATTTGCAAGTGGGAGTAAGGCAGAGAGGTTGGGCAAGACAGAGCAGAGATACAATAAATAGATACAAGTAGATTCCGCGGCAGGGCGGGAATATATGGAATACCTCTTCCTGTCAAATAAACTATGATAAACACCCCCGCAACATGGAGTACTTATAATAGATAATGTAGCTAAGCAATATAACATGATTATATCAACGGACAAAACTAAAAGCTTGACAAAACTAAAAGCATTATAATTTTTATAATGGCTTCATGCAAAGCACCACTAAATTTTGAAGAAAGTTTTTCAAAATCACGGCACTTCGAGTCAAGCCAGATCAAGCACGGAATATCCATTTTGGAAAAAATCCAACAAATGGTTTAGGCGCTAGTGGTGCTCACAGATAAACAGACGGACAGACAAATGGACAAACTGAGACAGATGGACAGACTTTTTTTAGAAAATGCACCAGTTTTTCAGTATCAGGGCATCCAAAAACGTGAATTTCCGTTTAAATCTCAAAATCGATTTCTGCAGCATTACATAACTTTCCCTATACTAGGTATATTACTCTGTACATGGGAAAGTAAAAATTAATATAGAATTTTAAATTTACATTTGTTATTTTTAACAGAATATACCTTTTTCCATAGAAAAATAAATTTTCTGAGAAAAATTACAAAATCAACATCAACAATATATTTTTGGTGAAATGTTAAATGTAAGTTTCGTTGAAAAATGGAATGTGATAGAGCTCTGACTCAAGAATCTGTTAACATAAGAGATTTAAGATTCAAAACTTGACCACCATAATCTTAATTTCTACAGCAGTTGGTGTATACCGAAATTTTGAAATGATTTTTATTAACATTCAATAGTTTTCATTTGTATTTACAATATCATCAATTACTTTTAACATGTAACACTTAACTTTAATTAAGCAATCACTCTGTACAATTAAATTTTCCATAAATAATAAAATAAATATTACCTGATTTTATTTTCTTGGGTTTGTCCTTAATTTGCAATATCTTGTTCAACTGTTGTTCGGTAATAAGTCTTTTTTGAAATTTTTCTATATCTTCCATACTCAAACGCTTAATGAGAACTCGTGGTTGACTAATAAGTTTGGCATCTTTTGAATTTGAAGGTCCTGAAGAAACCTTTTTGGTAAGAGATAATTTTTGAGAGGCATCTTTTGGTGCCTGTTTTGCAACATCAGGTGATGGTTTCTGAAGGTCCTCTTTAGGTGTGGCCAAATTGGCTGATTTTTCAACTATTTTTGGAGCAGACATACACACAGGAACTATTTTTTTTCCATTTGGTATCATCACTGTTCGTAAAGGCACACCTTGGTTCATTATGGCACCAGTCGCAGAGTCACGAAAAAGCAAATTTAGCACTCTTCCAGGCTGAATGCCATTCTTGGCAGGGTTCTGGCCAGCTACGTTGGACAAAATGAAGTATTTTGCAGGAGTGCTCTTAAGACTAAGTGGATTTGGTACATCTACTGATGGAACAGTTCCAGGTTTCAGCCGAAGTAGGCCTCCTGAGTGCCTCGCTTTTATATCTACATAATCTTCTGCATGAAAGTGTTTTGAACAGAGTCTTAAAGGAAACACATCATCTTTATCACTTAAATTGCAAACTTGTTTCCACAGTTTGCAAGCTTTATCATCTGTCGGAAATCTGTAAATCATGAAAGTAAATTCATAATGTAAATTATCAATGACCATTACCAAAATACAGGCGAAATAAAACCAATTATATTTCTACCTTATTAAAGAACAATAGCAATACAATATCATATTTTAGCAAATTATATGATTAGGCCAGTATACTTTAGGATGGATTCTAAAGACACCACAAAGAAAACTATTTCACAATTTAAAAACGTATAGGAAACGTAAAAATTCTTACTTGTGAAACGACATAGTAGATTTTTTGCCACCACGTTCTCTGTACTTGCATAAAAAGCAACACCTCCAGTAAGTAGAATCCACTGCAATAAACAGATTGTTATTCAAATGAAAATGCTTTTCAATTCTAATATAAATTCTTCTTAGACTTCTAATGTCTCAAAATAAAAGGGGCCTCAATTCTTTCTTACATCTAAGGAGGACTTCTGATTTCTCCCTCGCCCCTTCTGGCATCCCCCACTTGCTAACCACTTCACCTCTCTTTTTATTTTGTTAGTCCAGGACCCTAGCTAGTAGAAACCCATTGAGGTTGTCACGGCCCTTCTCAGCTAATTCCTATGTTATTTGTCTACACGCTGCAGTCACCCTTCAATCCCTTAGTAGAATGATTGTTAATGACAGTATAGGGTAGGGAATGATCAATAGAGCATGCTGGTGGAATGCATATAGTCACGGGAAATGGGAGTATTCCAAGAAAACCTGCCACAAACACACATGTCCACCACAGTTGGAACTGCTTGGAATTGAACCAGGCACCAGTGGTGAAAAACCACTCTTCCATTGCCTGCTGAATAATACTTATACTGCTAATACTACTACTACAACAACCACTACTACTAATACTACTATTCATTTATTTCTTTAATTACAGTACAGACCTTATATTTTCAAATTTATAAGTATATTTCAAATTAAGAATAGGAAGGCTTTTACGGAAAACATACTTAACAAGAAGTATATTAAAGAAAAAAATCTTAGTAAATTTAATAATAAAGTTAAACAAAAATAAAACACAAATTGTTTTGTACATCATTGATTACATAGCCTGATGATGGCAATATATGAACATGGTCAAAATGTTGTTTTTTGAAGAATTAAATAAAGACAAATAATGTGAAAATTTCTTATTAATTTTTTAAATTAAGCCAACTAAGAAAAGGAACATATATTTATGTACATATTAAAAAATAAAATACCATTTGGTTTCATCACTCACTCACATACTATACTAACAGAAGTATCCTTTTATCAACAACAAAGTTGTGTTTTGTTGATTTTGTCCTATTATTTGTAATCTTATTTTTGTTTCTCTTTGCTGAAGGGCTGAAACTTGTGTAACAAGAAGAAATCAGGCATCTTCAAGAGTTACTGGAAACGGCTTGATTAAAACCAATTAATCTCTAAAATTTAAGGACAGTAGACCATTTCATTTAATTAATTTGTCTATTTAAAAATAATTTTCTAATAATTTTTCTATAAGGTTTTTTGAAACAATGTGTCATTTATTAGTCTATACCTAAAACTAGCCACAGTTCTAAGATTTGTAAAATGTATTAACACTAAAAATGTAATGATGAACAGTTGAGAGTTTTTATTCTTCATGCTTTTATGCTATGCCAGCATGCTTTTGTGTATAAGTGTAAGTAGTTTTGTGTATATATATCAAAGGCACGCACCACAGAAGGTTAAATATCAATTATTTACAGTCCTAGAAGTTTATATTCAAATTGAAGTTTAGATTAAAAGATAAAATTATTTGATGCAGAAATCTTAGAATAATGCAATAATAGTAATAATAATAATACCAATAATAGTTTATTTAATGAGATGATTTTCCAAACATCATTAGATTTTTAAGCATATTGTCTTCGGACATAATTTTCATGAAGGTATGATTTTCTTACAGTCGGTACCAAGTAATAAATAGGGTGATCAAAATCATTTAGCAACACGTAGGAGAAATTTTGCAGCAACAAGATGTCATAAAAGTTGAAGCGACAATACCCGTACAAAGTTGATTAGATAATTTCATGTAGTAACAGGTAACAATAATTGAAGGAAAAAATTATGGTATCTTTTCTATTAGATAGATAATTTGAATTTATAAAAGACAGATCAATAGAGGCAAATTTAGTTTACTCATTCTGAATGCCTTCAGTGAGAAATACCCAGTGCATAGTATATTATACACTGACTTTAATAGGGTATTTGATTGTCAATCAAAATACTCTTATTAAAAAACTGAAATGCTTTGGTATTAGAGGCTCTCTTACGCACTGGTTGTCCAGTTACTTGACAGGTGGATCACAATTTGTTAAATTTATGGAAGTTAAGTTAGGGGAAATCACAATTTTTCAGGGATTCCTCAAGGATCAGATCTAGGACCCTCACTTTTCATCATCTATATAGACGATATTAAATTTATTCCGAAAGATGTTGAAGATCTATTTTTGCAGGTGATTGCAAATTTTTCAATATAATATAATCACCTGATGATCAGTGAGTCTTCAAACTACATGGAATGCTTTTACAAAATGGTATGAAAACAATAAACTATTATAACATCCCTCTAAATGTAAACCTAGAACCTTTTCTCACTTAAGAACACCAACGGAATTAATATTTATAACTGGACATGCTACTATAACCAAAGTATTCTCTATAAGAGACTTGGGCATTATTTTCGACTCCAAATAAATGTTCACGGGACATACTGATCTGATAATCAATAAAACCAATCAAATCATAGGATTTGTTCAAAGAACATGCTTGGCTTTAAACTCAACAGAAATGTTTAAATCTCTTTACATGGCACTTGTGAGACCTATCCTGATGTTAGCATCAGTTGTGTGGTCTCCACATATAAACATTGAATGTACAAGGACTGAGACAATACAACATACATTTTTTAAATTATAGCATTGAGAATGTGTTTATCTGATGCATTTATTGATCAGGAATATAGTTAAATTGTGAAACAAATGAAAATGCCATCACTGAGATTTCTGACAAACTTTGTCGATTCAATTTTTTCTGTTAAACTTATTATAGGCAATATGAATTGTTCTTTACTTCAGGGTTCCCTCTGTCAATACTAGGTTAACTACGTTTGTATTAATAAGTAACAATATCTCTTAATAGGTAAATAATCCAGTGTCAAGTACAAGCAGTTTATGCAATCGGTTGACAATTGATTTATTCAGTCAATCACACTCAAAGAGTAAAGGGTTCAAAGAATTTATTTTTAGAATTTGGATTGGATTGTCATTCAATTGACTTTGTAATACCTTATTACTGTATATTTCTATTTACTAGTCAACGTGCCAATCTATTTTGTATGAAAGAGCAGCACATAATCAATAAATCCATAAATAATAAAATAAATATTACCTGATTTTATTTCTTGGCGTTTGTCCTTAATTTGCAATATCTTGTTCAACTGTTGTTCGGTAATAAGTCTTTTTTGAAATTTTTCTATATCTTCCATACTCAAACGCTTAATGAGAACTTGTGGTTGACTAATAAGTTTGGCATCTTTTGAATTTGAAGGTCCTGAAGAAACCTTTTGGTAAGAGATAATTTTTGAGAGACTTTTTGGTGCCTGTTTTGCAACATCAGGTGATCGTTTCTGAAGGTCCTCTTTAGGTGTGGCCAAATTGGCTGATTTTTCAACTATTTTTGGAGCAGACATACACACAGGAACTATTTTTTTTCCATTTGGTATCATCACTGTTCGTAAAGCACACCTTGGTTCATTATGGCACCAGTCGCAGAGTCACGAAAAGCAAATTTAGCACTCTTCCAGGCTGAATGCCATTCTTGGCAGGGTTCTGGCCAGCTACGTTGGACAAAATGAAGTATTTTGCAGGAGTGCTCTTAAGACTAAGTGGATTTGGTACATCTACTGATGGAACAGTTCCAGGTTTCAGCCGAAGGTAGCGCTCCTGAGTGCCTCGCTTTTATATCTACATAATCTTCTGCATGAAAGTGTTTTGAACAGAGTCTTAAAGGAACACATCATCTTTATCACTTAAATTGCAAACTTGTTTCCACAGTTTGCAAGCTTTATCATCTGTCGGAAATCTGTAAATCATGAAAGTAAATTTCATAATGTAAATTATCAATGACCATTACCAAAATACAGGCGAAATAAAAACCAATTATATTTCTACCTTATTAAAGAACAATGCAATACAATATTCATATTTAGCAAATTAATATGATTAGGCCAGTATACTTTAGGATGGATTCTAAAGACACCACAAAGAAAACTATTTCACAATTTAAAAACGTATAGGAAACGTAAAAATTCTTACTTGTGAAACGACATAAGTAGATTTTTTTGCCACCACGTTCTCTGTACTTGCACTAAAAAGCAACACCTCCAGTAAGTAGAATCCACTGCCCAATAAACAGATTGTTATTCAAATGAAATGCTTTTCAATTCTAATATAAATTCTCTTGACTTCTAATGTCTCAAAATAAAAGGGGCCTCATTCTTTTCTTACATCTAAGGAGGACTTCTGATTCTTCCCTCGCCCCTTCTGGCATCCCCACTGCTAACCACTTCACCTCTCTTTTTATTTGTATAGTCCAGGACCCTAGCTAGTAGAAACCCATTGAGGTTGTCACGGCCCTTCTCAGCTAATTCCTATGTTATTTGTCTACACGCTGCAGTCACCCTTCAATCCCTTAGTGAATGATTGTTAATGACAGTTATAGGGTAGGGAATGATCAATAGAGCATGCTGGTGGAATGCATATAGTCACGGGAAGATAGGAGTATCCCAGAAAACCTGCCACAAACACACATGTCCACCCACAGTTGGAAACTGCTTGGAATTGAAACCAGCACCATGTGGAAAAACCACTTCCATTGCTGCTGAATAATACTTATACTGCTAATACTACTACTACAACAACACACTACTACTAATACTACTATTCATTTATTCTTTAATTACAGTACAGCCTGTTATATTTTCAAATTTATAAGTATATTTTCAAATTAAGAATAGGAAGGCTTTTACGGAAAACATACTTAACAAGAAGTATATTAAAGAAAAAAATCTTAGTAAATTTAATAATAAAGTTAAACAAAAATAAAACACAAATTGTTTTGTACATCATTGATTACATAGCCTGATGATGGCAATATATGAACATGGTCAAAATGTTTTTGAAGAATTAAATAAAACAAAATAATGTGAAAATTTCTTATTAATTTTTTAAATTAAGCCAACTAAGAAAAGGAAACATATATTTAGTACATATTAAAAAATAAAATACCATTTGGTTTCATC